GGACCGTTGATCTGCTGTCATAATTACTCTGTTTCTATATTGCTTTTCCTCCCCAAGGAGCACAGAGCAGTTTATAAGAGAAGGGGGAAAGTCTTCAGGCCATTGCAATAAAAGGAAAATATAACAACAGCAAACTTAAAGGCACTGTGTGTGAACAGGAGTGTCTTCAGTTGTTCTCTTAAAGAAATAGGTAATTGAATTTCCAGAGTATGGAGTAGAGCAGGGGTTCTTGCATCCCATCTTCTTGGGGATTTAGGCTCCCAGAGGTAGGCAGAAATTCAACAGGGTTGTATTTTCTACTACAAAAGACTAATATCAAGGAGGTCACGGAGGTGTTTCTCTAAGCGCCTGTTCAAAAAAGGTATATTCTAGCAGGAAAAGACGTAAGCGCTAGGAATCTCGACTAAGGGAAACGTATATCTGTGCTCTTCAGGAAAATTACATGGCGGCTGGGGAAGGAAAACAGAAACGAAGACCCGCACAGGCGCTTTCTTAGACGCCTCTAAAGGTCCTTAAGCATAGGACCTTCCACCAAATCCCCGCGACGGGTCATAGAGAGAGGGCTGGAGCGCTCCTCCTGCGCATCGCAATAGTACAGTCCAATTCCAGGCGTCACCAACGGCGGGGACAGTACCAATTGCGTGAAAGAGGGGGAACCGTCCCTTCCTTTCTCCTTGTGGCCTTGCGAAGGAATCAGTCTGCAAAGCGTTTCTGAGGAGGAAGGAGGGACTGGCTGGGTGTCCAGGTACAGGAGGACGGACCGCAGTGGGCGGTTTTCCTTCCCCTTGTGACATTGGCAAGGAATGGGGCTGCTTTTCCTCCTCAGTGGGGGTGGGGGTGGTAAGGCTGATGGGGGCAGTGATGAAGTTGCTTAAACATAAGAGGCCAAAGGATGCAATTGTGGGGAGGGTGCCAGTTGTGTCTCTGTATGCATCCCTGTTCTTGCCTTGGCGCCCTCCAAACTCTGTTTGGGGCAGGTCATTTCTGCCTCGTGCCTGGATAGGCAGCAGCAGCAGTTGCTGGACTGAGGGGCTTCTAATGCAGAATGGGGGTGCCACCTGCTGCTCTCATGGTTGTCTCTGTATGAGTCCCTGTTCTGGCTTTGCTTTCCACCAGCTTTGGCTGTATCCCTCCTTCCTCCAGCTGCACAGAACAAAAGTAAAATGCTGCTTCTTCCATAGAATCAGTGTTCCTCAGCCTCAGCTACTTTGAGAGGTGTGGGCTTCAACTCCCAGAATTCCCCAGCCAGCATGGCTGGCTGGGGAATTCTGGGAATTGAAGCCCACACTTCTTAAAGTTGCTGAGGTTGAGGAACACTGATACTGATAATGAAGTTCTGTCCGTTTTGTATCATTAGCCCCTTTTACTGCCAAATCTGCCCCTTCCCCAAACGCATTAATTGTGGCCCCGTCTCCACCATCACGCACGGAGCCAAGGAAGGATTTGGAGAAGTCAGGAGAGAAAAAGCAAAGATTTGAGAACGGCTGGTGAGCACTTTCCTTTCTTTCCTTGTGAGTGGGGCATCAGAAAGTGAGGGTCAAGGCAGCCACCTTCAACCACTTCCTCAGCATGCTGCCCCACAGCCAGCCCCACAGCCAGCCAGGACTCATGAGATGCATGTTTCCCCTTTGCGCATTTCCTGCATGAGGAAACACAGGAGTCTCTGTGAGCATGGTTGTTTGCTTGCAGACATTTCATTACCCGACTAGGTAACACCACCAGGGCTAGTGAGTCTGGGGTTTGCTCCCTGTTTATACACTGAAGCTTGCCCTGGCAGTGTTGTTGGGGGGGTGTTTTTCTCCTTGGTAGTTCCTTGACTAGGACATCGTTTTCTGCTTGACTGTCTGGTGTTAATCCCTGCTTATCTGGGTATTGGCTGCTGGACAGGATGTGTTCTGGTCTTTTTGTTTCCTTTTAAGCTTCTTTATAGTCTCTTTTGAATGGTGTGTAAATGTGATTTATCTCTGTGTGTCTATTGATGGCTGATTTGTCTGAATGCCAAGCTTCCAGGAATTCCCTAGCGTTTTTGGGATTTGGCTTGGTGTAAAACGCTAACGGTTTCCCAGTTGAAACTGTGGTGGAGTCTGTCCATGTGTTGGGAGATTAAGGAGTTTTTGTCATGTCT